CAAAAAATAGCCGGGCATTGTGGCAGGCGCCTGTGGTCCCAGCTACTTGGGAGGCTGAGGCAGGAGACTCGCTTAAGCCCAGGAGTTGGAGGTTGTTGTGAACTGTGATGCCACAGCACTCTACCCGGGGGACAGCTTGAGGCTCTGTCTCCAAAAAAAAAAAAAAAAAAAAGATGGAGCTGTAGGCCAGGTGTGGTGGCTCACACTTCTAATCCTACCACTTCTGGAGGCCAAGGCAGGAGGATTGCCCAAAGCCAGGAGTTCAAGACCAGCCTGAGCAATATAATACAGCAAGACCCCATCTCTACAAAAAATTTAAATTTAGACCTATAAATTGATATGCAGGCTTGAGTAGCAGCAACCATCTTTCTTGCCTAAAGGTCTGGTAAGAATGGAGCACCCATACAGAGAAACTGAGGTGGAAAAAGGGAGAAGAGGGCCAGAGCTTTGATGATAACATCTGAGACACTGGATCTGACTACACTGGCCTAACGTCTACCTTTGGTCTTCCTAGTTACATGAGCCAATTTACCTCTTTTGGCTTAAGCTAATGATTTAGGTTTTAGTTACTGGTGGCCAAGAAAGTCCTGATGAATAGGTAGGCTCTGGGTCATACCAATTGCTACCATACCTTCAAGGTCATCAGATCCAACCCACCAGGCAAGATGTTGAGGATGGTCTGTCCAGCAGTAACTTCTTGCAGGATCCTCAACACCCGTACACACTCGCTTACCCGCTGATGCACCTGCAAACAGACAGTCCCAGAGGGAGCTGGAACACTTCAGACCACCCAGTGAGAATCTCACTCGTGCACAGAGCTGAGGAAGAATGCAGGGATAGTTTGTCCACCTACATCTCACCAAGCACCGTAGGCTCCTTGTCCTGAGAAAGGCTGAGCAACCTCACAGCTCACGTAAACACCCCCTAACGGCATGACAGAGTCAGCCCTGTTGTTCACACTCTACCTAACTGCCCCACCCATAGGGTTGTCAAAAGGATCTCATGACACAATATATGTAAAAGCACTCTGAACACAGAAGGAATTAAGAGTCTTGTTATTAGCCATCCAGTATTGGATTCTACTTACCCATTCATAGCACAGCTACTGTTTCTGTCTGCCTAGCACTTACACCCTCCTCGCCCCCTCCTGCTCCTGTCAATCTTTCCTTTTTTTTTTTTTT